GAGGTTGGCCGGGCGCACTTCGAAGGGGCGCAGCTCGACCGAGCCATGGCTTTGCAAATGTTGCGATGATCAAGACCCGCAAAAAGAAGGAGACCCAGGCCGTGAATCATTGCATCTTCGGCGAATATCATTCTGAAGGCAAAGGTGACCAAGGCCGGGAATCATAGGATCTTCGGCAAAGCCGTCATGGTCAAGGGCGTCGTGATGACCAAGACCCGCCAGGTGACGATGACGGCGACCAGGTTCGGGGATCATTGGATGTTCGGCAAAGTCGTCATGGTGCAGGCGGGCAATATTATCCCCAGCAATGTGATCACCAAGACCCGCCAGAAGAAGGCGACCGAGGCTCGGAATCATAGGATTTTCGGACAAGTCGTCATCGTGAAGGCCGGCCTCTAAGCGTGTTCGGCCGTGCGGGGGCGGCGGGGTATGTATTGGGCCGTGCCTCGTCGCCACTGCTGGCGCCGTCTCGTTTTTCGGGGTCGTTGGGCCCCCCTTCGTCGCCTCTGCGGGTGAGGCTCGTTTGTGCCTCGGCGTTGGCCTGGGGCTTCGGGGTCGTTGGGCCCTCCTTCGTCGCCTCTGCGGGGTTCGGCTCGAAAATGTGCCTCGGCGTCGGCCCCAGGCGCGCTCGGCCTGTGTGCCAGAGGGAGCTTGGAGCTCTCTGCGTCATCAGCGTCCTCAGCGTTCTCCTCTTCGTCTTCCTCCTCCTCCTCCTCCTCATCATCATCCTCCTATTCTTCTTCCTCCTCCTCCTCCTCCTTCCTCCTTCTCCTCCTCCCCCTTGTCCTCCTCTTCCTCCTCCTCCTTCTCCCCCTTCTCCTCCTCCTCCTCCTCCTCCCCCTCCTCCTCCTCCTTCTCCTCCTCCTCTTCCTCCTCTTCCTCCTCCTCCTCCTCTTCTTCTTCCTCCTCCTCCTCCTCCTCCTCCCTGCCCTCCTCATCCTCCTCCTCTGTTTCTTCCCCTTATGTGTTTAGTCGTTATCTTCATTATTTTGTCTCTTCTGAATCTTAGCAGTATTATTACTCGTCGTATTGTTATGTGTTAGTAATTCCCTACCTAGGCTCTGCCTAGAAGGGTTCTTACTCTCTTAGCTTAAGGGGCCGGGCAATGCAAAGCGCCCTGGGCGGTTCCCCCAGTCCCCTGGGAGCGGTTCCCCCCAGTCCCCTGGGAGCTTTAGCTTTAGCTTTAGCTTTAGCTTTAGCTTAGCTTTAGCTTAGCTTTAGCTTAGCTGAAGCTTAGCTTTAACTTAGCGTTTCGCTTAGCTTTTCGCTTAGCGCTTAGCTTAGATTTAGCTTAGCTTTAGCTTAGCTTTAGCTTAGATTTAGCTTAGCTGTAGCTTAGCGTTAGCTTAGCTTTAGCTTAGCTTTAGCTTAGCTTTAGCTTAGCTTTAGCTTAGCTTTAGCTTAGCTTTAGCTTAGATTTAGCTTAGCTTTAGCTTAGCTTTAGCTTAGCTTTAGCTTAGCTTTAGCTTAGCTTAGCTTTAGCTTAGCTTTAGCTTTAGCTTAGCTGTGGCTTAGCTTCAGCTTAGCTTCAGCTTAGCTTTAGCTTAGCTTTAGCTTAGCGTTACTGTTATCCCAGTGCGACCCTACCTAGGAGTTGGAGCCCCTAGGAAAGCAGCATTAGTAGTAACAGTAAAGCTAAGCTAAAGCTAAGCTAAAGCTAAGATAAAGATAAGCTAAAGCTAAGCTAAAGCTAAGCTAAAGCTAAGCTAAAGCTAAGCTAAAGCTAAAGCTAAGCTAACGCTAAGCTAAAGCTAGGCTAAAGCTAAGCTAACGCTAAGCTAAAGCTAAGGTAACGCTAAGCTAAAGCTAAGGTAACGCTAAGCTAAATATTAGCTAAAACTAAGCTAAAGCTAAGCTAAAGCTAAGCTGAAGCTAAGCTAAAGCTAAGCTAAAGCTAAAGCGAAAGCTAAAGCTAAAGCTAAAGCTAAAGCTCCCAGGGGACTGGGGGAACCGCGGGGCGGATCCTGGGGGAACCGCCCGGGGCGGGGAGCACTGCCCGGCCCTTTAAGCATACAGGGTAAGAACCCGTCTAGACAGAGCCTAGGTAGGGAATAAATATTATTCCTCCTCGTCCTCCTCCTCCTCTTCCTCATCCAGCAGTTTGGGGGGCTTCTTGGGCCTCTTGTTGGGCTTATTGGGGCCTCTTGGGCTCTCTTGGGTGCCTCTCTTTTCTCCTTGTTACAAAGGCCAGCGAACGAATCCTCGCTCGCACCTGCGCCCCAAAATGCCTGGGCCATCTGGCCCACGATCAAACATCGCAAAGGAGCACGAAGGTCTCGACAACCGCATGATCGCGCTCTTTTTTGATTCCCTTGCCATTAAGGCGAGCGAACCCTCGCTAGCACCTGCGCCATCCGGCCCGCGATCAAACATCGCAAAGGAGCGCGGAAGGTCCGACGCCTGCAGGCGCGCAGTCGGAAAACTGTCAGAGGAAGCGAGCTGTTTTCAAACACAACAGGGCGACGGCACCCCACGTTCCCCATCCTTCCTTCTCCCACAT